TTCTTTGCTGTATATTTAATAATAACACATTTTAGAATTCTTCAGCTTTTGTATGAAAATGATTTTTTTAGATCTACGATCTAGACTGCAATTCTTTCATTCACCATTCATTCATTGATTCAACGAGCAGCAAAATTCATGTAAGGAATTATATTAGATATTAGGGTTAGATAAAAAGTAGTAAAATAATCTGTTATTTTTCTCAGATTGTTTTCTGACAATTCTTATTTAGATAGCTCTTCAGAAATTATGAATTATCTCTATATGATTAAAAAAAAATCCTCGCAACAACCTTGAGAGGTAAGGGATATTATCACCCTAGTTTAATAGACAAGGGATTCTTGAATCAGAATCATCAAGATAACAGGGTCAATATGTGACCAAAGTTTTGAACCCTTGGATTTCTGATGCAAATCGCATGCTTTTTGTAACTATTTTTACGTGTATTTCATTACTATAACCATTCTTTTATTTTTATTCAAAATACCAAGAGGCTTTATTTAGTTTCTGTATTTTGTTTACTTTAATGATTTTTTTTAGAATGATATGGACTTGCAAACGTTAGTTTTTGTTTTGTTTTGTTTTGTTTTGTTTTAGCTGAGCCATTTTGACACCTGTTGGAGGCTCGGCAGCTCAGGCCGGAAATCGAACCGGCAACCCTGTTGCTCAGAGCTTGCACTCTTGAGTGAGCTCATAATCAACTGAGCCACTCGGCCGGCCCAAATGTTAGTTGTTTTATATGTCATCAGTACACTAATGTGATATCATAACAATGCTATTTTTACTTGGTGTCCGCATTGCAGCATTAAAGAATGAGGCATTATCCCAGAAGGTTGTTAGCACAAAGGTGGGAGTTTTATTTTAAATATTCTAGGTTTCTTGCCTTTAGACTGAGGATCATAGTTTTATTTTAATTTTACTGACTCGTTAGTATGTGGAACCAGCTGAACTAGTTAGAGCATTTTGGCACTGAAAACTAATAGACTTATATGATCAATGTTTATGCATCTAGAGATCAACAAATACATTTTGCAGCAAATCCAGAAACAATGATTTTCATAAATTTATAAATAAAAATATATGAGTAACTTTGAAAGTAACATGAATTATAGATAACTCTGGAGAAAATATGGAAATATACTTTACTGTCAGATCATTTGAAGAATTATATTTAAAGACAAGACCAAAAACAGAACAAAAGAGAGCAAAACAAAACCATTAACTTCTGTGAAGGAAATAAACAGGACTATATTTTAATTCTTTACTTGTACTATTTATTTGCACTATTTTGGATCCTAACAAAACCATAAAAGGTTTCTATTCCTCATTTTATAAATGAGTGGACTAATTTCAGAATTTAACTAACTTGCTGGTATAAGCAAAACCAGCATTAAACCCCGCTGATCTCTGTTTATTTCCATCATAAAAAAGCAGTCACCACTTCCCAGCATGTACCAACATTTTGCATTTAACTGTAAAAAGACTGCTTTAATGGAGGAATAAGTTTGAGTTACATTTTCCTTCTCCATTTATTTTTTCTCTTTTTATTTTCATTTTACTTTATTAGAAAGAAAATAAAAAAGGCAAAAGAACAATCTCCTCCCCCCAAAATAAACACTAAAGAACAAACTTATGCTTAATTCTCTCCTTTAAAAAGATGTAATACAAGGTACTGTGAAAAAGTCCCATTTAGAGTAGACTCATATTCAAATTAAATGAATAAATAATTACATGTACAAGTAGAAGAAACATATAGGAATATATAAAGGCATTTTAAATGTCATCAAAATAAAACAATCTTTTTCAGTTTGCAAATAAAAAAAAAATCTTTCTAACTTATAGCCAAGTTCTGAAAGTTTTACACTTAACACTCCTTTGGATTTTTGTTTTTTAGGGTAACTACCACTTTCTTTGCAATTAGCTGGTGCCTGCATACCACTCCTGCCAGCTCTACTTCAAAACACAGAAATACGTATTTGGTAAAACTTATTTCAACTTTCACATGACACAAAAATCAACATTTTAGTAAATCAAAATGAGAATAGCTGATCACCAGACAAAACTCATTTTAAAATTAAATATGATCATGATAAAAAAAATCTTCTATACTATGATGCAGTGTTATCATGATGTACTATATGGTTATCACCCCCATAAATTTGAAAGAATTTGTTTTTTGCCTTTTTTTGCTTCTTTAAGGGTTCAGGGTACAGCAATCAAATTGACAAAATTTAGGGAAACAGGAAGTGAGAATAAAAAAAGGCAGCAACCCAAATATCCATACACTAAATAAACAAGAATACTTAATGCCATAGATTTTGGAAATGGAGACTTCAATTATGGGTGAGGAGGAAGGCATCGCTCATGGGAACATTAGAAACTTTTTTGATTTTTCTGGATTGTGTGGTGCCATCCTTAACTGTTACGTTTATTAGAGTCACGCCAACAGCTGTTAGTGGCACAACTAAAGTAAATGTGTCAAAGACAAAGGGCATAAAATGGATAGTTGCATTTGGCTCAGACTTAAATGTAAGGACAGCACTTTGTTCAGTATAAACAACATTGATGCTACACTGGAAACACTTTCTTTTCATTTTATCTTCCTCATCTTGCCTGGAGGCACATCATTTAGCTGGACAAAAAAAGGGAGCCATTAATCCTTTTCTTGTCCCACAGCGAAGCAATCAGTCACCAAAACTCAAGGATTGGAGCTAAATCCATGTTCTCCTCTCCACCTCACTGCCTCAGCCTAGTTCAGTCCCTCACCATCTCTCTCCTGGACCTTTCAAAATGACCTTTTAACCAATTTTCCTGTCTGCACTTTTGCTCCAATCTCTATTCTCATTCATATCTCCGTGATTATTCTAAATTCTCAGTCTGATTACAACTTCTATTGGCTCCCCATCTCTTGCAGAGTCAATTCAAGTTCTTTACTTTGGGTTATGAGACTCCACTGTGAGCTGGTCCAGCCCAGCAACCTCACCATATCCTCTTCCTAGTAAGCAGTGCTGTGGAAGACTCACAATTGTGGCTATATTGTACTTTGTGAGACCATACATTCTCTGAGAGCACAAGCCAGATTCTACATATATATTTCTATTTCTAGTGATAATTGTTAGTAGTAAATGCTGTTTCACATTACCAGTTTTTTTGTTTGTTTGTTTGGTTTGGTTTTTTGTTTCTGCACATGCTATTTTCTTTTCTCCTTTTTTGTCGTGTAACTGGAGAACTTTTATCACTCAAAGTTTTAATTACGTTGCCTTCTTGATAAAATCTGACACAGTGCTCCAAAAGGTTAAATATTTCCTCTTTTTGTACAAAGTTTTATTTTGGCACTTTTCACACTGTATATGAATTAGTTGTTTCCATGTCTGTATCCCCCTTTAAAGTGTGAGTACCCTAGAGGCAAAGAGTATATCTTGAAATCCTTATTATACCTCTAGGGCTCTAAAACAGTTTCTGAAACATAATTATAACATGGTAGGGATATTCTGTAATCTCATTTAATGAATAAAATTTAAATAAATATTTGCTAAAATATTTTAAAAACAAAAATAACTTTTATAAAAAATATCTCACTAGCAAGACTTAAATATTGAACCCTGCTTGGGGGTTCAAAAAATAAAGTTGATAAATGTCAACTTTCAAGTTGGAGAA